TTTAAGACCTTTAAAGACCTTTTTAAGATCTGCACTTCACATTTCAGCCTTTAAACAATTTTTATGAAAAGGGATGAGTCAAAAGTATCAATTATTATATTAATTTAAACAATTATTATCAATTAATTATTATATTAAATAACATAAATATATCTTAGTGTCTTAATTGTTTAGATTTTTATAATGCATTAGCTTTTTGTCGATCCACTGGTTCACATTTAAAAATATGTAGCAAGAATAGCAGAAGGGCTTATTGAAAAAGCAGATTCGTTCTCTGCCAGCAGGAGGCGCTTTCAGAGCGGCAGAAATACAGCGGTTTCCCCGGTAACCACAGTACACACAGCTGACTGCAGGCTCAAGTTTATTCAGTGAAATCACAGCCTTTTGAAGTTTAATCGTCATATTAATCCATATAACAATTCTTGTCTTTCCGTCCCCAAAGACCTCTTATAATTTAGACTTTTTGTACCATTTAAGAGTTTGCATGGCCTTAAATGTAAACAATTTAACTGAAGACGTTTTAAGGACTCGCAGAAACCTTAAATAAAAACATAGTCCAGTGCAAACATTTCTGTCATGCATTTGGCAAAAAGCTTTTGTTGATTATGAATTTTACCTTTGAAATGTGAGGCAAGTGCAACTCTGGGGTCCCCGATGTTTGTGAGCAGTGGTGTGATGGCGATTTAAATAAAATACAGATTTCCAAACATATGGCTATCCCCTTGAACTTGGTAAAAAGATAATCTGTTTACCATCTTGACTGGAAAATACTGTTTTCATGGTCAGTTTTTCATTTATACGGGAGCGGCTGGAAACTAGCGACCTCTCCTGGATGGAGATAGTATTAACATCATAAACTGAAAGCAATCTTTACGTGACTTGCTTTTCAAATGTTTTAAAATTGATCATCGGAGTCTAATATGATCCAGACTCGGATCTAGAATAAATGAGAACATGCATTACTCATCTCACATTGCTCAAAAACACAGTCAGTATTCCTCAAAATCAATAAAAACAGTGAAATGCAAACTCAGAATATGACAAAAATCACATTTTATTAAACAGTGTCTTTGCTGCTGACCTTCAATGATCCAAATCAACCATACGAATGAGCAAAAATGACTTTAGATAAACATCACATTTGTGTTTCTTTTGTTTTATTGCTGACGAATGTTGAACTTTCCTCTCCTGCGTTCTGTTCTTCCTGTGATCCAGAATGAAAGGATTGTTTGAGCTTTTTGAATCTACATTTCCTTCAGCCTGAGGCTCATTCATTTCACTTTTGGTGTGAAAGGGCTTTTACATTTGCCAAAAATATAACTTTTTTTATATTTAAAACAAACAAGCAAGCCCAGCCCAGACGATCGTAGTTTGTGCATTTTTTTTCTCATCGGATAAAAAGTTTATCCTACTCAGTTGTGTGCATACGTTTTTTTTTTTATGCACATTTTTTGAATTTATGTGCATCTTGGCGTTTCCATCCAGCGGTTATTTTATGCGAGAATCCAAAATGCGCATAAAAATAGGTGGATGGAAACATAGCTACTGATGCGTCTGCACCTTAATGATTGCGCTGCAGTTTCGTCGCCTGTGGCTTTAAATGCTGGAGCTCTTTAAAGCTGAGTTGAACTCTCTCTGGTTGTGTGTGTGTGTGTGTCAGTTATTTCGCTCAGATCCTGGAGGAGCACGGGCCGCTGTGCGCCTCGGACCCGCTGATGGTGGGCGAGCTGGAGAACTTTCCTCCGGAGGCGCAGCAGAAGATCGCAGATGCTGGAGGACTCGAGTCCTTCCTGCTGGAGTCTCTGCGCTTCGTCATGATGGACGAGCTGATCGGGCTGATGAAGCACGCCGTGTGTCTGACAGACTCCCTGCCTCCGTCACACCTCAACCCCTCGGCTGAAGAGTTCTGGCCTCACGCAGACGCTCTGAGCGACACTGCGTCACACCTCAGCCTTCCTGATGATGATCCAGAGGAGTCTGCGTCCTCCGATCCGTTCCTGCTCCTCCCCGACCCGTATGCCTTCGAGTGTCCCGTCTCAGACTACGAGTATCTGGCAGCAGATGTGCTGGAGCGAGCGCCGGCGTCTGAGCAGAGCGAGGACAAACACACAGCCGTGTGTGAGCAGGTAAGATGGGACGGATGACGGGAATGTCGTCAGGATGAGTGCCGTCTCTGACCCCTGACTCTGTCTTACAGGATTTGGCAGAGCATACAGATGTCTCCATTAACACAGAGCCATACGTGTCCTTCGAGAGCAACA